ACTAATATTCTAGATTAGCCTTCTAGTTAGCACAAAACAAATATTTGGTTTTGCCATGTAGACAAAAGCACTCTGCAAATATCTCCTTGATCTTTTCTCCTACAGGAAACCAATAGCTTGCCTCAAAAAATATGATTTTAAGAATTCCATGTGCTTCCCTCTGGTCATACTCTGATTGGAGAAGTCTATCTTAAAATGTGATGCAAGGAATTTGATGCTTTACTCCATAAGTCATCTCACTAGAACAGAACTTGGTGAAATTGTATTTTTTCCTATTGCCTCTATAGTGCTAAACACAATATTTCATTAGTATAACTTATGATTGTGCTAGTCTATTTTTCCAACAGCCTCATCATACCATTGGCTTATTTTATGGTTGTCATCAAAAAAACAGAAATCCCAGAACTTTGCCATCTGTACTGTAGCCAAGCCAGCTCACTGTTATACAGCTGACTTTCTAAACATAAACAGAACTTGAAATTTGTTTCTGCTTAATTTCATTTCATTGGTTTGGGGCCAGTGTGTCTCTGTCAGTTGACATCACTTTTATTCTTGAGTGTGTCACCTATAGTTTTAGCTATGCATCATACCTACACATCCTCACTTCTAAAACTCTACCAAAACTATCTATAGAAATATTGAGCCAACAAGGCCAAGAGTATAGCTGGGTAAAATTCCATTAGAAAACTACAGAACTACTTACCAGCATATAGCAGGCAGATGTTTAAAAGACACTAAATATCAACAGCTCTAGCATTCAATGTACTTCCCAGCCATGATATTCTTGCAAAAGGTATTGTCAGATGTGTTGATGTAACGGAAATAATTGAAATGCATTTTATTCATGAAATTTTCTGTTCCCTAGAGAGTCTAATAAAATGGGGAAATCGTGTGCATTTAGCATGATTTATCTTGAGTGAATATATGCTAGCTCCTAGAGATTATCCATAATATCTTCCAAAGCTTATAAACTACATACATGGTGATCCATTCTAGAATACTGTATTAAGCTAAAAAGGAAAATGGAATAATCCCCATAATGTCTTTATCACGTTTTTTAAGGCCAAGATAATAATGTTCCCAGTTCAGACTTCTATCAGCAATCTTGTGTTCTGATACTTTTTAAAAAAATAGAGTGTAGCTGTCTTATATAAGCATCTAATATTTATTAAATGAATGAACTAATTAATAAATTAATAAATAAATGAAAAGATACATTAATTATTCCATTATTTGATTTTCTTTTCTTCATAAAACATCACTCTATGAAGTTACTGTCCTCATTTATTTTTCCCTTTATTTACAGTTCTGTTTACTCCCTACTCATGGGTGTAGATTTTGTAAGTATTGTATCCACAGTGCCTAAAATAGTGCCCAAGGCATAATATCCCCACTGCATAGAGGCATGCAGAATGAAGGGGATATGTTTTAATCAACTGAGGCCTTAGGTCTCAAACTCACTCAATATTAAGTATTCAATCTACTCTCAGTTAAAAAAAATATTTTCCTTAATGAATAAGACTGATACACAATGGGAATTCAGTTTTTTCTTTGTCACTTGTTAATGTATTTCCAAGAAACACCAAATTTATTGTTATTCTTATGCCAAATATTCTTTCAAAACTAAGTGTTTTAGTTTAGGTTACCCCAGAGGCAATATTCAAATGCAAGCAGTTTATTTTGCAGGTGACCTCATGAAATACCAGAAGGAAGTTGGGCGAGTAAGACCGGCAAAAACAGAATGAAGACTTTAACTCCCCAACAAACAACAAGTGTTGGTGAGGATGTGAAGAAAAGGGAACCCTTGTGCACTGTTGGTGGAATTGCAAATTGGTGCAGCCACTGTGGAAAACAGTATGGAGGTTCCTCAAAAAATTGAAAATAAAATTACCTTAGGATCTAGCAATTCCAGTTCTGTATATTTTGGTATTTAACCAAAGAAATCCAAAACACTAATTTGAAAAGATATATGCAACCCCATGTTCACTGCAGCGCTATTTATAATAGCCAAGATATGGAAACTACCGAAATACCCATCAATAGATGAATAGATAAATAACTTGTGGTACATAAATACAATGGAATGTTAATCTGCCATAAAAAAATAATAAAACCTTATAATTTGCAACAATACAGATGGACCTAGAAGGTGCTATGCCAAGTGAAATAAGTCAGATTGAGAAAGACAAATGCCATATGATCTCACTTATGTGTGGAATCTAAAGAACAAAATAAACAAGCAAAACAGAAACAGACTCATAGATGTAGAGAACAAACTGATGGTTACTAGATGGGAGGGGACTTGGGGAACTGGGTGAGAAAGGTGAAGGAATTAAGAAGTACAAATTGGTAGTTATGAAAAAGTCACAGGGATGTGAAGTACAGTATAGAGAATATAGTCAATAATATAAAAACTATGTATGGTGTCAAATGGGTACTAGACTTATCAGGGAATCATTGCATAAATTATATAAATGTCTAACCACTTCTCTGTACACCTGAAACTAATATAAAATAATATTGAATATCAACTATAATTTAAAAAATAGTCACAGGGATATATAGTACAGCATAGGGAATATAGTCAATAATATCGTACAGTGTCAGATGGGTAATGGACTTATTAGAGTTATCACTTTGTGAAGTGGATAAATGTCCAATCACTATGTTGTTTTGTACACCTGAAACTAATAAAAAAAGTGTATGTAGGCATGCTAAAAAAATTGGAAACTTGTCTTTGTTCATCTGAAATTCTCTGTATTCAATTAAGCTGCTTGGGTTTTGTCATTTCTTGTAAGAAAGAAAGTACAACACAGAACATTAATCTAGATTTTCCTAGGGAGAAAAAAAGAGTTTAACACTTCCACCTACAACACTGACGAATGCATCCTTAAATCTTTGCAACTGGAACAGTCATTCAGATTGACCTCAAGAGTTTGGTGGAATAACAAATGTTTCAGTGACTTCATATTTCTAGCATTTTCCCTACTTTTCCAAAGTCATGTTCTCTCCTTCAGCACTCTGGGGGAGACTGACTTTCTCCAGACATAGCAGCATGGTGACATAGATTTAAATGGAACATCTGTGCATATCAAAATTTCACATCTATTATTTTCCCCATTTCACCTCAAGATCTGTTGAAGAAGTAATAGACATGTATCTGGATTTAGTATATTAGAACTAGAATATTAATATATATATATATATATATATATATATATATATATATATATATACAAATGCATGTCAAGTGCTAAAAAAATTGACAATTATAAATAATTATCCATTTCAGTATTGTGTAAAAAAACTAAAGGACAGTTAATTGCATGAAAATATGATAATTAGTTTTTATTGTATAATAAAAAACAATTTCAAAGTTGTATGTATAATATGAACTCATTTTTATAAAAATGTGTGTTTGTATAAACATAATTCAGAGTGGTAGGAATTTTGAGTGAGTGTCCATTTAAACTATATGTCTGGTTTTCCTTTTCAAAAATAAAATCATATTTTACCTTTTTTTGTAGTAATAAACAACCAAAAAGGCTTGGTTACTGCCAAAAACAAATACCTAAATTAAAAAGTAGATAAATTACAATATATTATTCATAGATACCTAGATGACAAAATATCCTTACTTTATGAAAGTACATGCCAACTACTGGTAATTACTACATTAACAATAATTTCTCATCATTTTTCCTATTAAAATATGCTTAAGTAAATATAAAATAGCACTATTTCATGTGTATTTTAAATAAAATTCGGGCTTCAAAATTTATTCTGCTGACAATTTTCCACATAGAACATGCTTGAAAATCTTGGATAAGGCAGGGAATTAAAAAGGGGCTAGGAATTTCTACTTATTTATTTCAGGTCCCCTGACTTTGATTTTTAGCTCTGATCAAATACCAAAAAAAAAAAAATTACAGGATACTAAAAAAACTTAATAAGTTAACTTGATCCAAACATAATAATTGATATTTAATAGTCATCATCATCATCTTTACACCACCATCAATAAACAACAACAAAATCTTCAAATAATAGACACCATAAATAGATTACATTGGCAATACATTACTTGGAAATCTTCCTGAGTATAAGATTGAACAAAAGAAATAAGATAGCAGATGGCAGGGCCGGTACCTTTCTGGAAAGCAGCTCAGAAGGCACCATACAATTGTGTTTGACATCTCAAAATCTTCTCAAATTTCAATATAACCTTCTTTGTTGTTAAAAATCCTGACATCAACTACATGTTGGACATTCACTATCCCTTATGATCTGCTTCTTTGTGGTTTGTCATCATTCTCTCCAACAGACACATATTTAGGGACTGAAAGGGAGAAAGAAAGCATTTTAATTGACTATACCAAAAATAATTTGCTCCCTTTTAGTGTGTGTTCAACCTATTCTCATTTTGCAACTTACAAACTAGGACATAATATTTTTCATCCTCTCTATATTCTTCCCAAAAATTATCTAGACCTGTTTTGTCAATATGGTAGCCAAAGTTTAAAATTAAGTAAAAGTAAAAATTCAGCCTTTCAGTTGCACTAGCGAGATTTCAAGTACTCAGTAGCCAGTTATAGCTAGTGGCTACCACATTGGACAATGCAGATATAGAACATCTCCATAATTGCAGAAAGTTCTATTTAACCGTGCTGATCTATATATCAAACGCTATGTAGCCACTTCTTAAGACCCAGTACAGAGCTAAGGTGTTAATGACATCACTACTTTTGCCACAAATATTAATATTTGGCTTATAAAGTGGTCTGTATAATTTAAGGTAGAATTGAATGCAACTTGTTGCTAAAATATTCAGCTCTGTTGCCATGCTCTAGAAGTCATCTATAACTATGCCACCAAACTGATTTACTAGGTAACCAGAATTTGGATGAGTCTTGCTGTATTAATTATTTATCGCTGCATAACAACTCATTCCAAAAATTTGTAGCTTAAAAAAGCAATAATCACTAATTATCTCTCATGGTTTCTGTAGACCAGGCTTTTGGAAGCAGCTAAATCGGGCAGTTCAGGCTCAGGGTCTCTCATGAGGTTGCAATCAGTCTCAGCTGGGGCTGCAGTTATCTGAAGACTCAGTTGCACTGGATGTTCCACTTCTGAGGTGACTCATTCAAACAGCTGGCACATTGGTTTAGCTCCATGGGTCTTCTTGAGTGGCCTCACAACATGGTAGCTGACTTCTGGTAGAATGAGAGATCCAAGACATTAAAGCAAAAAGCTATAATACCTTTCATGACTCAGTCTTGGATTTCTTATTTCATCACTTCTACTATATTCCATTGGTTACCCAAGGCAGCCCCTGAGTGATTCAATGTGGGCGAGGATTACACTAGACCACGAATATTAGGAGACAGTATCACTAGCTACTACACCAGGAAGTCTTGCTAGATTGTAGGGGTTGAGAAGAGAGAACAGAAAACATTGCTAAGAGGAATTGAGTCACACTGTCTCTTGTGCTGAGCATATTTTGCACAGTGACCCCAAAAGGAAGGCTTATGTCTCATTCAACCCTTGAGCTTTCTTCAGATGATCAAGACGCTGGAACTTTCCTTTTCAGCTAACTTTCCCCACCCAACAATATTGACTACATAAGGGAGGAAAGTGTACAAACTTACACCTTCAGTCGTTTCTTAGTCACAAAATGAAATGATTGAAGATTAAAACAAAAATACTGATACCTAGGTCCTACCATGGACTCTAATGTTATTGGTCTATGTGCAGCCCAAGAAGCAGAAATTTTGAAAAGCTTCCCAGGTGATTCTAAAGTGTAGTAAAATTTAAGAACCAATAATAGAGGGAGGCTCTTCTGAATGTTCTGTCCTTTCTCTCTCCTTAATTTTGCCATCCTGCTCTCGGGACCCATTTCTTTAAACTCCTTGTTTCTCATGCTAATCCCTGAAAAAACTTGTCACTTCCCACAAAAGTTGGAGAATTTCTTAGTTCTGTTCACTGTTTACTCAACTCCATTAAACCCAAGATGCAGCTGGTGACAGACCCCTAAAGTGTAGGAATTGGCTCTAGTCCCAAGACCAGGGCAGAATATGTGAACCCACTCTAGGCTCTTGACTGTAGAGCGCTGCAATTAATTTCCTCACTAATTACCTAAGATGCAACCACACCTTGTCAAAGGGAAAATTAACATGTACCAGAAACAACAGGCTCATCTAACACGAGATAACAAGTTCCTCCGATGAATACGAACTTGACTCTGCTCCTTGTGAAAATAAATAACCTCAGCATGATGGTGTTAAGGCACATCTGACCTGTTCAAAATGTGGCTTATACTATGAGAGCCACCGCAGTAATAGAAAAGGACTCCCATTTTAGCCATCAGGACTGGTGCTAATAATTCCACCCTGACGTTTTAGAGTCTCCAGCTCCCCTCAAGGAAAAGAGAGAGATCTCTCATTTTTTCTCATTATCAAACTGAGTAACTGCATATTTACCCCCATTAGCATTTATAGGGGGGATAAAAGCTCTATGTAGCAGCAGTTCTCAAAACTTAGCACGCGTATGAATTATCTGGGGATCTTGTTCAAATGCAATTTAGAATTTACTGTGGGAGCTGAGATTCTGCTTTTCTAACAAACTCCTAAGAAATGTGGATGTCGCCAGTCCATGGGCCACACTCTGAGTATCAAGAATCTAGATATTCTAGAGAAAATAAGAATAACGATGACAAAACACTTTTCTCGGTCCCATTTGATTTCATGCTTGTCTGAAGTACTGAAATAGTTTTCTCTCACCCCTCTTTTTTATTGACATGGTCTATAATATTCAGATGATTGCATTAGTCTTATTCTTTAAATTTCATCTGCTTTTGTTATGGAAAAAAATCCTCTGGAGGTCTTTAGGTTACAAGATTTCAGATCATTTTGTGAAAGAAGGACTGATGGAAACAAATTCATATCATAATACAATTCACTGTTTCTAACAAGAATTATTATATTCACAAAACATACAGGATATAATACTTATAATACCAAAATGACACACCCAGTGGTATTGTGGTAACATGTTAGTCAAGCATACTTTGAGCTGGTTTTTTTTTTACTTCATCTTGTCAGTTAATCTATTATTCAGGTCTTTAGGACAGAGGAAAAAATATGTTCATGTGAAGCATAGTACCTCTTAACTTTGGAGAAAAAAAATGATTAGCTATAATCACTTACAGGAATTATCCCCCTTGTTCTATTTTTTTTTTAAGCACTCATCGGCATTATGAGTCCTTGACCATTCCAGTGCTATCTATACTGATAAAGCCAATTAAAAGGTTTTCTTTACCTTCTCTTATAAAATAATGCCAGTTCAAGGTAAAACTTGCTAATGTATTTCAAATAGTTATTTCCCTGGAGTAATCACAACACAGTGAATAAGATTCTGACTTTCTTTTGCCTTTCATAATTCTAAAGAAAAAGTCCACCAAAAAAAAGAAATGAAACACTGAAAACAACTCAAAAGACACAACATGTGTACTTGTAATCCTGGCTACTCATTATAGTCAACCAAGCTTTTAAAAATGCTACTTTGGGGGCAGGCTGAGTGGCTCAGTTGGTTAAGAGCCTCAGCTTTGAGCAACAGGGTCACCGGTTCTATTCCCACATGGGCCAGTGAGGTGCGCCTGAGCTGAGCTGCCAACAGGTGGCAGGATGCTGGCTCAGGGGGTGAGAGCACATGCTCCTAACAGCAAGGTTGCCGATTCAACTCCCGCATGGTAAGGTGGGCTACACCTACCTGTAACTAAGATTGAACACGGCACCTTGAGCTGAGCGGCTGCGAGCTGCTGACAGACGGCTGGATGGCGACTAGACTAGGAGCTGAGCTAGCTGCGCCCTCTACAACTAAGATTGCAGAACAACTTAGCTGTTCCTCTTCCCCAATTTCCCAACACTGTTCCCCTTCCCCAATTCCCCAATAAAATCTTTTTTTAAAAATTCTACTTTTACAAAACCCCTTTAACTGCATAAAAGGCACCAACCAAATATCATTCAGTATCAAGAAATTCTGTTCTTCCTGAAACTGTTAAATTAGCATTATTCCACACTGTTTCCTATTAATATTTCTTTAATTGATTCACATTTGGGCACATAGAGAAAGTTTGCCCACAAATTGCTATAAAAGTAGTATTGTACAAACTGTGTCATCCTGGAAGAAAAAAAGATGAATGTTTCTTTTTCTTTTGCTTCCATGATATCAACCAGTCTAATCACACAATATTTCCAAACTCCAGCCCAGCCCAGAATGAATAAATGTATGAGATGACATTGCAGCTTGGAAGCTCAATATTCACAATAGCTGACTCCTTCATAGGAGTCACCCTCACCACAATCTTTGCCTTGGAAATTACATCTGAAGTGACTGGATCAATTCTTTCAAGCCACATATGTTGAAATTTTAGTCTAACTCCATGGTGACCATAGCAATGTTTATGTCATTACTAACTTTTATATAATGAATGTAAAGAACTTGGGACATAAATATTTGGCAGCAATAATGAAATTGCTTAACTCTGGCTGTTGTTCCGTTGGCTCCTGGGAGACCATAGTGAAATATAAAGAACAAATAATTTTGTCCTCAATTAGCCTCATAATTAAACTATGGTTTTATCAGCTGATTTCCATTTGCCTAAAAGTTAGAAGACGTGAATCTCTGTCCCGCTTTATCACTATTTTAAATAAGACAATCAGTCTAACTTAGAGTTAGTTTATCTATAGAATAAGAAACAGTTTATTTAGGTATATCTAAAGTGCCTTTCATCAATAAAAATATAATGTTTTAATCAAACTCTATTTTTAAAGTGAAAGAAATAAAGGTATGCCTTGCCCATTGCCTCCTCTCCATCGATTTAATCCTTGACCTAAATAATGAAGATTTTTAGAAAATTTCAGCCACTAACTCTGAATCACTAATTAAACTCCTGGTTACCCATCCCAGACTAAAGAATCTACAACAGCCTACCAAAGTGGCAGACTAATAATTAGCCAGCAAATACTTCCTGAGAAGCCTCTAGAGAAACATTGCTACAAAACACTGATTAGTATTACAGCCTCCTTGAGAACCAACTGTGGGGCAAGTGGGTTTCAGTATTATTCCCAAGAAATGTCTGTAGTCTTCCCTCCACACCTCCCTCTATGAGGAATGGAAACTACGGTGACACATGGCAAGAAGAGACAACTGGACACGCCGGCTGAATCATAACACCTGGTGGTAACTTTGGTGCTGTCACAAAACCTGAGAGATGCATAATAATCATTGTAGCTTCCAAGAGTAGCTTTTTCTATGGGAGGGTACAACCCTCAGTATTCCAGCTCAGGAAAAAATGTGTCTGTGTGAGCGTGAGAGAAAGGAAATGTGTGTGTGCGTGTGCATTTGTGTGTGTGTTTTCAAAGCAGAACGTGAACACAAAATCAATAGTCTTCTGGTGTGATGTGTCCCCCTGAGTTGACTGTTTCAGGGATGCAGCTTGGCACCGGAGCCTCCATCTGAGCGGAGGTTCCCTCCCTTTCTTTTTGCTTCAGCTCAGTGTTTTGCTTGAATCTGAGTCATAAGCTCCTTAAGCTGGCAGGAAGCGGATAGTCGGGCTGGCAGTTCCCTCTCCCCCAAATGGAGGGAGTGTCTTGGCTGACACTTAAGCAACCTTTTCCATCCCCAGACTCAGGAACAGAACCAATGAATATTAGCAGAACGGAAGGCTGGGCTACACTCACAGAGTAGAAGAAAGGAGAAACCATCCTGGAGAAATCCATTAGCTTCAGCTATGGTTTAAAAAAAAGAAAAAAAAGGCTTTATGGAATTACCTCAGCCACTCACCAGGCCCTTCAGATGTTTTGTGTTTATCCCCCAAAGCTGGCCTATATAGGTACCCTCTTATCTAGCCCCCACCCGACCCCACGTGTCTTCTTTCTCTATCAAGCTTCTGATTGGCTCCTCCCCCAGCAATCTCCGTCTTTCCTTCTGTTTTTCCTAAAGCACAGCTATTCTCACTGCTAAGTTCACACTCTCAGGGTTGGCCCTCACTCCTGGGCAAAACAGTAAATTGTAATCTGAAGGAATCAAGGACTGCCTCTTTCCTGCCCAATTCCCCTGGAATTCCCTCCGTGCTGTGTTTGTAAGAATACAAATGGGATCAAAGAGGGTGGAAAGACAGACAATACTGGTCATTGACATGCTGGCTCCAATCAGTTGCTAACTTCATTCCAGCAGGACTCAAGAGCATGAGCAAAGAGGGAACCAGATTTAGGGGAGGCGGAAAAGTTTGGAATGGGAAGGTTGTGCAATGATTACTACAATGTGGGTGACCCTGTTAACTGTAGTTCAGGGGAAGGGAGGGTGGGGGTCTGAACACCTGGATGAAGAAAATCTGCCAAAAGAGCTACAGGGCGTTGAAAACTAATGGCAGATTGTTGGAAAAAAACCCTACCTCCTTCATAGTTTTTCCTTCAATCAACCAGGTTTCTTAAGTGTAGGACTGAGTCTTGGCAAGTTTTCTGCATGCAGACCCCAACAGAAAATGTCTGTCTTGCCTTATATAGTTCCAACATTTCATATGTCCCTCTCCCAACTCCTCTGTCTCCCTCGCAACCTCACACCATCATTTGTCTTCTGGATCTAATCCACCTCATCTTTAGCCTCCTCAAACCCCACTTCTGACATGTGGCAAGACTCCCAGGCCTAAGGCCCTGGCCTGCTTTCTACCCGATGTTCCCCTGGTTCTTCCTGTCTGCACCTTTGCCTGATGCCTTCTGATTGCTCAGACCAGAGCTCAGCTGTCAGTCAAGTGCTTGACCTCCAGAAAGCAATCTTCGGCTATCCAATTTAAGGAAAGTAAAAACAAAACAGAACAAAAAAAAAAAAAAGAAAGAAAGAAAGAAAGAAAGAAATCCCTGAAATATTTGAAATAGGTTCTGTTCGGAAAGTTAAAGCTGGTAAATGCTGAGTGTGTAAAATAACATCTCCCACTGTCCTAGAGAGAACTTTGCAAAGTAGCTAGATTTTTTATATTAGGAATATATGTAATTTTGTTATGAATTGAGCTCTTTCTTTTCACAGACACTAGCTCTTTGTTTATTTCAGATATGAGCAGCTACACAGCTGCTCTCCAGCTCAATATTTGCAGCATATTAGTTATGAGAGATAACATTGAATTATTAATATAAATAATGTGTTAATACTGCTCCACCTGTATGTGTAAGGGGTCTTGGAAAACAGTCTCCATACCAAGTTGAAAATGACTTTCAGGACCAAATTTTCATAGAGGAGAGAGGACACACTCATACTAACCAGGCTCAAGTAAGTTCATTTCTCCCTTTCCAATTGGTTCAGGTGAGATGAGCCCTTCGGTCTTTCTCTACACGTTCATTCTGAACATTTGAACACCAGCCATCCTGCAGACAGATCCATCTTAGAGTAACTGAGCCAAATTGATGACCCAGTGGCTTGGTGTTTGAGTGTTACAGACCTATCTGAGAGCTTTGGCTTAGGAATCTAAAGAGGTGGAAGTAATCAGTCACGGAGGAAAGAACTTAATAAGAAAGTCTGGTAGGAGGTGGAAGACATTGCAATAAAACTTCATTAATCCAAAGTGCTGAGAAAAAGCCAATCTGATGAAATGTGACTTACAGAAGAAAGAGGTAGATGAGAATCCCCCACAATCTAATATAATATGCTTATACTTCTGTCTCTGAGATGTGGCACTTGAAGCAGGATTAAATGTTTTCTAAAGGCCCATAATAGGAGAACTGTAATATAAATCCCAATTAAACAGTGAGGACTAAAGTTTTTCTGAAGTCCTATGGTAGACCATTCTATGTATCTCTCTGAATTAAGGCTTGGAAAACAGTCAAATGGATACAGTTCATGCAAAAATAAGAACTGTCAAAATAACCTAAATTCTTTATTTGCATTTTTAACTCTTTGAAGAGGACAGTCTCCAGTAATACTTTAAAAAAAAAATCCATGTTCCGCTTTCATCCATTGACTTATGCATGGAAGCCACTTCCAACACTTCCAAGGCACTTTCTTCAAAATAGCAAGAGCATATTCCGTTCTAATTCACCTGTCCTCTAGATATTTACTCCTGCTTCCTCTCTTCACCACTTCATTACTTTCTGACAACTGATGGACTGCCTTTTGCTAACGCTTTCCCTCCTCCTCTCAGCATTCAGGTCCAGTTCCTCTGCAGGTATACTGTGGTCCTCCATTACAAATGCCGGAAGGACTGGTCAGACCCTCCTCAGATGGCAGAGCTGAAGGGACCAGAGTCCTCTTTAGCATGCAGGGGCCGTGAGAGACTGAGCATGCTCAGAGCAATCGCTCTTATCCATTACAATGATGGTTTATGCATGCTCTTAAATAGAAATGATACATAAAATACGTAGTCTATACCAACAGGTTTTCCAGATAGAAGTTCTAAACTTTGATGAATTATTATGAAGAATTGTACATTGAAGCAAATTATACAGCATTTAATGAAAATTAAGGCACTAGAGTTATATGTATCACTGTGTATGATTCTCACGATTCCTTTCCCTTCTAGTACCCTGTCATTTTCATACCTTGCTCTCTCCAGACTTTCAGCTCCATCTTCTCTACTCAGTTTACCCACCAAGGTCTGCCTGGGTTCTCCCTCCATGAATCTCAGCCTAAAGTCTCTCTCAAGGCAGCAAACTGAGACAATCATAGGGCTCACCACACTTGTTTTCTGTCTCTCAGTTATCATAGTCCTGATTTACCTGATGACTAATGTCTTAAAAACTAATGTCTCCATATATTTTGTCTGATTTTTTTGGATACTTCAGATAAACAGGTAAATATATACGTTTTCTCTTACTCCATCTTAGCCAGAAGGAGAATTCCCATTAGCCATGGACTTAACAGAAACTCAAGCTGTATTTGGCGAATGAAATTGCACAAGATCTACAGCTTCAGATATAGTGAACATCCCTTCCACCACCAAAACCAGATCTCAGAAAAGATCAGATATACCTCATTATGCTTTGTACTTTTAAAACACTGTAAGATCTCTTTATGTGTTGACATAAAGTTTAATTTAATTGTCAAGAGGCTTTCCTATGAAAATAATTTCAGGTACCAATTTTTTATGTAGGGATTCCTAAAGATACTGCCAGATATGCAATTCCAATATGCCTATAAGTGACACCTGGTTCAGGAACAAACAGTAATGTTTTCACTTAAGCAGAAGCTACTATTATGGAATGCAAAATGAGAGAGATATCACTGTTTTATATGCCACAGAAAAAGATGAAATGATCTGTATGAAACCATCCACTAATGCTAAGATAGTATCAATTATAAAATGCACCTCTAACTTCACTGATAATTAAAATGTGAAAGATATTTGTCTTAAAATCAAATGTATACAGTGTAGGCATGTGTTTTGTATGTGAGTAAATGTAAACATACTTACAAGCAATAGATACTTGGTTGCTATCTGCAAGCTGCCATTTAACCTGTCCAGAAAATTCCCCCAGCTTCCCACTATAGTTGCCCATCTCCTAACCCTTCTGCCCCCACACAGTCAGCCACACTACAGCTCACTGGTCCAATCTTGCTTGGCTGATCATATCTGAAATTTAAAACAGAAGTACCAGAGGCTGGGAATCTTTGTAGCCAATTCACATTAATGGCAATCGTCTGACATATGGTGCTAGGATGTCTCATAACTTTCCTTTAACCTACCCTTTCCAAAGACTTAGGGATTTAATCCTGCTTGAGTTCCGCAAAATACCCCCAGCATCCTTCCAGTAAATTCTTTTTTGTGGCTTAAGTCAACCCGAGTTTATTTTTGTGGCCTGAAACTGAAAGAACCTTAACCAATGCAATGCCCTAAGAACATTTTGGAAAGATATACAAGAAATTAACACTAATTACCTCTGAGAAATGAATGGGACTATGGATCTTGAAGGTGTAGAGGGGAACTTCCATTATTACCCTTTAAGAGCCTGTATAAATTGAACACTGTGTCATTATGGCTTCCTTTAGTTGGATGGGGGATGTTCGTTTTCCATCATGAGCCTGTGTTACCTGCATACCTTTTTTATTGGCTAGGTGTTTTTTCCTTCTTATGGTCATATCTGAAAAGGAATAATATGATAGTAGCTTTCTAATTTTTCTCGGCTCAACTGTATCCCTACTCTATTCAAATCTCTGCATTTCAGGGTCACACAAACTGAGCCTAGAATAATTATGACATGCCCAGTCATTTCACAGCGATCAGAACCATGAGGTCATTCTTCTAGACCAGCCCAGTGTGATTCTTACCTTGTCATGGGGTGAGTCAGATTTTATTTTTAGGTGCAGTAGATATTAATTGATCTGATGTCTTTCTGTAAAGCTGCTTCCTTCTCCTTAATCCTCACATTTACTCAGTGTGAGATTCTTTCTGGTTCATAATCTATTTTGAAAAGAACATCAAGGTTAGATGAGTTGGTTATTGATCATGTCACACAAATATGAACTGCCTTAACCAGGTTAAATATATCCAGACACTTGGATGAAATCATTCATTCAATGAGTTGGGAGTTCTGATGGAACTGTGATAAATTTAGAATATTAGAAGTTTCAAACTCCCTCCTCCATCATACCCCACTACAACTACTTTAAAAAAATTAATATTGTCAGAAAAGTCTCACCCCCTAGAGAGGAAATTAGCAGGAGTCAAGACAAATGGACCAAATTAGCCATCTGTGGAAATAACCCATCCTGGGAGGTGACCTGTAACTGCCTTGTAGATGGGAGCAAAGAGTTTCCAGTCCTGAGAGGGATCAGGAAAACCTGACTGGCATGTAGTCATTGTAAAGCAGAAAACAGCAGTTCTATTTTACCTCACTTAGGATGATGTCATGGTGCTTTAGCAACTGATTTGAAAATAAGAAGCCGAAAGTAGGAATGTGTCAGTGTTCGTCCAGAACTGTCTTGAAAATCAGAGCACTCCTCAGGATCCGTCTGATTCTCCAGGAGGGATCACAGTGCTTTAGACATGGAGCAGGTGTTTCCTAGAGCACGAAGCTGCGGGGAATCAGGGTCACAAAGAAAGAGAGAAAGGAGGGAGGGTGGAAAATGTGGAGGGAGGGACACGTCAAGGAAGGGAGGAGGGCAGAGAAAGGGAAAGGACTAGGGCAGAGACAAAGGGGCAGAAAGAAAGGGAAGCCCCCTCCTCCAAAAACAGACATAATTTGGCTGCTCAACGTGTTAGAATGTTTATAAGGCGGGGGCAGTTGGAGCCTGGATCCTCTCCCCCCTTGGTTTGTTACAACAGTATTTTAACTGATTTTCCTGATACAAATGTACATTGTTTCCGATTGAGATCTAAAATCTGAAGTTATTAGTTCTCTCCTGCTTAAAATTCAAGACTATTCCTCTGCATCCTTTAGCATAATGTGGTTTAACAGTTAAGTCCCTTTCCTGCCTCAGGGGCTTCTCCTCACACACCCCTCCCCAGTGCTCTGGTCTTTTGTTGATATTTACAGTTCCCATGAATATGCCTTGCTTTTGCATACCCTTGACCCTTTTCATATTCTGCTCTCTCTAGGTAGAATGGAAAGTTTGCTTTTCAACCCCCAACCATCACCTCTGTTTTTCTTGCTGGTGAGCTTTTCAACCAGCAAGACTCTGCTCAAACAATATTTCTTCTGTGGAACCATGAGTGCCCTTCCATAAGACAATGATTCTTTAAGATTGTGTTGGCATTGATCAAACAAACTCTAGTTATCTGAGTATAGCCTTAGCCTCTATCTAAAATTTTAGCTCCTAAAGAACATACACCTTCTCATGTTCACCTGTGTATACCAGTCTCTAATACATACCCATAATGGACCCTGAAAAAATACTCAAATTAATGAATGAAGCAATAAAAACATGTCGGAAAAATGTATCCAAGACTTGGAAAAAAATGTTTTAATTACTTCTTGGCTATTTAAAAATTCTGTAGGGGTGGCTATTAATTTGTAGAAAATGAATAACAATGTGAATGATTCCTGCTCACAGAAGCACAAATGAATTATTTAAACCCCAGTAAGTCAAATTCTCATTTGGACCTGATTTCACATTTACTGGTTCCCTCATTTATTAACAAGTTAAATAAAATCTTTGACATGCATTCGTTTTGTGTGTATGAGTCAGGATTTCACCTTTTTGAAAATGATACTTTAACAGAATAACAGAATATCTTCATTTAATGTGTCTGTACATAAACTACCATCTAGCATAGGCTGAGTGTGTGTTAATGGAATATAGAGAATGTTTTTTATTAAACAGCTTAACATAATAGTTGCAAGGCAATAGGAATGTGAAATGAATATATCTGTTAAAATCATAACACTAAATGAAAACACCAACAGAATAATACAATAGAGCCCTTTAAAGCAGTTGGTTGCCTTGTATACACATATGTAATATAGACACATATGCATGTACATGTGTTTAAATGTAACTGATATATTGTAGCCAATATATTTTCCATACAGTAATTCTGAGTTTATAGGTTTCTGCATCACAAGTATGGTATCACACTTTATTAAACATGTGGTCATAAGGGCACAATGTTAACTATGTTGCTTAACTCTTTTAATCATTATTACTCACCCATGCTTATTATTTGCTTTTCCATCATTCTTCCTAACTAAACCTTGTGTATCATCCCCCCCAGACATGGTCCCCCTCATTCAAGTGGAAATAGGAGGATTTCCCCATAAAGGCAGCTGAACAGACCACATTAAGTGAAAAATCAAATGGCCATTAGTCATAGGCTGACCAGGTAACTGGGTCAACTGGCTCAAGGGAAGGGTTTGCTAAGCCAGTGAAGCATTTCATTGGGCACTCAAGAAGCCCTTCTCCACCCTACCCCCAAACACACACACACCCAGAAGATGTGTATATTTAGGTCTGTCCATTCCACTCCCTAGAATGGGAGCGGCTGTCACTCTTCCAAATGCAAGTACCCCAGGCTCAGCCTCCATCCACAAAGACAGGCTGTAGCCCCAGGGGCCACTGGCTCATTGCCTGTGCCCTGTCAGCTTCTCATGGAGACATGCACACTTCAAAGGACTGGGAGACCACCCTCTTCCTAAGACTGAAGTTCAGGTTCCCTCTCAGAGAAGGGCATTGCAATGTCACCAGTCTAGCTCTCAGGTCAGGGAAAAAAAAAAAAAGTCACCATATCACTTCTTAAGATATATATCCCCTATGATGAGAGCTTTATTCTATTTTTCTCCCTCTTTTAGCTGGCATTCCTTGGGAGTGGAAAAACAATCAAACAGTCTCACACAAAAGTCCACATTGAAGTATGTTTAGTGTCAGATTAAAACTAACAAAAGGCAGGAAACAGAGAGTTAAGAGCTTACCCAGTCCTGAACTCCCCCTATTGTGCCTAGGTACCAAGAGGTCAGGAAAGAACTCTTAGGTTCAGAATTATCTCCTTCTGTTTCCTTTCACTCCTGAGATATTCAACTTCAAAAAATATTAAATGGACAAGAAATCCCCAAATGCCCATAACCCATACAGGGTGGTAATCTGTGCATATCTCGATATTTGAAAGGCATGTTTCAACTTCATACTTTTTCAAAATTAGAAAAACATCTGTTCCCTTTGGTAAATCCCCCTTCCTATGTATCTGTTTTCTGGCTGCCCGAGTCCTTTCCCTTTAAATACATACATACATACTTAAATACATACATGCATACACACATATGGAAAAGAAAAGATGCCAGGTGTAGGAAAAAGCAGGGATTTCTCATCAGATAATGACCAACAACTTATTAATTTTTCACTTTCTTACATCCAAGCTTAATTTTATAACCCAGAATGACCTGCTATGCCAGGTCTGATTCTGATTCCTCCTGGTCAGTTTTTCAAACATGTCCTATAGTAATAATTTTAAAATGTCTCCAGTTTATCTGGGGCAGTTTGGGTGTGGGTGAGGGGAGGCCATTTCCTCTGTTAAGATAGATTGCCCTTGGGGACTGTTGTACATTTGCCTAGAGTTTCTTCCCTTCACTGCTGGGATAGACAATACTCAGGTCTGAATATGAGCACTTATGTGGAATTGAGAACACACTGCGTATTTTGTATAATGATAAAACAGAGCTAGCCCTCCATGATCCATATTATTACTGAGGAAATTAGCAGAGGTTCATAGTAGTCCAAGTACCATGTATAATAATAGGCCTGCCTGGGGAGAGATACTCAGTGTTTTAACAACTCAGGGTCCTGAAACTCTTCTTGGATGCTCTGCCGCTTGATTTGTCTCTCTGGGTAGGAGAAACTGTAGACTGAAGGCTCCTGCCGGTACAAATCTCTCAGGCGAGTTTGCAGAGCAAGCCTGTGCCTACTACCCAAGAGAGCCCAAGACCTCCTTTCCTACCACCACTTCTGTCCATTTGTCTCCTTTGTCAACCCCCAAAAGAAGTGAGCACATTGCCATTTCTCCCTTTGGCCAAGAATCACAAAGCCTTTCTTTGCATCTACCAACACTATGAGGGAGCCGTGTGAGGTACAAATAGCAAACATGGGGAACAATCACAAAGCGTAAATAAGAAATAAACGAGTGCCCCATCTCTGTCAGTGAGGTAAAAGTTTAAAATTGCTCTCTGCTTGCTGGTTAACACCTCTAACCCCCTCTCTCCCCACGTGCAAACACACCTCTGATTTTTATTGAAGTCTTGTGAAAGAGACGCTCAGTCATTGAGGAGAACATTGTACATCAGTCCTTAAAGAAATAGCTCGGCATTTTCAGGTAAAGCCCACAAACAGGAAATAGGTAGAGATGTAGCGAGTAATCATGTAGTTCACCACCCACACTGGTTCAGTTTTGACAGTGAAAGGGGAGGGACAAATGCTAAACTAGATTGAGCACTAGGACTAGAGGCTTAAACGGGATCATTGCAGGCAAATGTGGATGTGGGGGAATCTCCCCGAAGGAAAAGTTACAAAGGTGTCTGGGTTGCGTTCAGGCATTTGTACTTAGAGAGGCAGTGGGGAGACAGAGGGTCTTGAGCTGGACAGTGCCCAACTGAACTGAGCTTTAGAAAGAGTCTTACAGAATTCAGATGCAGGATAGATTTGAGGAGCCACAGGAAACAGGTAGGTAATGTTGGTTCTTACACAAGAACTCTGAGAGGTAATGAAAGCTCTAACTGGCTGATACCAATGAGATAAATGTGAAATATTATTGATGTAAAATGAATAGACATCTGTAACTTTGCAGATGTGGAAGTTTCACATAGGGTGAATCAGAGGCGAATTTTCTAGGCAACTCAGTGATGCCTTTAGCAGCATTTTTAGGGAAACTATGGCTAAAAGGTTAAGTAATGTGCACAAGTTCACCACCTAATAACAACATGGCCTTCACATATACCCTTTAGTAAAAATATGATTATATTTCAGTGTGATAAAGGGCCAATCATATGAACAGCCTCTATTTTTGCAAGGTGTGTAAGACTCTAGACTACAAATCTGAAGATGTCCTTTAAGTTTTGCTCATTCAATCTCTAGCCTTATTACCTTTGGAAAATACTTGTCCTTTTATAGGGCTCAGTTATAGCTTTTGAGTCTCTGAAATAGGTACATTCTTTCATTACTAAGTACCTTGGTATGTTCACCTCTCCTTAACAGAATGCCCTTCCCATCTTGTCTGCTGAGAAGTCCTTTGTCAAACCCAGTTACTGCCTCTGTGAGACTTTCCCTGAAAAATAACCCCTAGAAGAAATAGCCTACCAGTTGATCACTGTCTGTTTCCTTCTAATGGCACACACAACTTCCTGCTTCCAAAACACCTTCCAGCCAAAGGATAACCATGGAGCCTAGTTCAATCCAATGACAGAGGAGCAGAAATCTGTTGAGATGAAGATCAAGAAAAGCTTTTACTTCTGTGGTAAAAATGGACAACTGTCACAGCCTTTTGCTCTTTCCGCTTCCTTCTTCAAACTGCCTTGAACACCATTATGATTTTGGAGATGAACCAGGCAGCCATCTTGCAACCA